GACGTCGCGCGCAGCACAAGACGACATGTCTCGAGCCTCCGAGATGAAAACGAACGAAGAAACGAACGATCAAGTCAGAAAAGGTTCTAGTGATTCTAGAGTTCAAAAGAGTTCAAGACTTAGGACACTAATTAAAAGGGAGCTTCTCAAGGTTTGGTCGCATCAACAAAAACGATATGGGGCATCTACACCACTCAAGGGGCCAGGGGGGGGGGGGGGGGGGGGTGTCAATGATTGAGTGCGGGCCGTGCCTGAAACAAACGCGTCGAGTCAGGAACACGAGTCGGAAAGCACCGCGAGCCGAGGCGGAAAACAGATCGGGCCGAGTCGGAAAATGTCGGAAAACAGTGAAAACAGGCCTGTGAACATCGCCGTTGAAGACCTGCTACGAGGAATCTGGGCGGTGCTGTTGGCGAGGGTGAGACAGAGAAGAGAGGAGGGAGACGAAGACAAAGGGGATAGAGAGAGAGAGAGAGCGAGAGAGGACAGAGAGAGAAAGATACCTTGCAATCACTGCTCATTTGCGCAGCTCTTGCGGCTTCCTGACATCGGTTTGGAGCTGCTGTGTGCAGGGGTTCAGAATCCAGAGTCCAGAGACCCTAGAACCCTGTGGACTTCATTCCCAGTTCTGAGCTCTGAACCCGCACCTGTTTTCCGACTCGGCATGGCATGATTTCCGACTCGGCATGGCATGTTTTCCGACTCGGCTGACGCGTTTTCCGACTCGTGGTTTCTGGCTCGGCTCCCACCCAATCCATGGTTTGAACATATGCAGCAAGAGGGACCCGGCATAGCGTGACATGATGTTTCGGGGTTATCGAACGTAGCCGAAATCCATCCAACATGACGGCTGACATTGCTTTGCAACAACCTGGATAGACTGGATACTATAGAACAACGGAGCCCCTCTCGCATCACAGTACGATCCCAGTTCATCCCCTTCAGCATTTCTAAAGGCCCCCTCAGGAAGAAGGAGTCTTCTTCACGGGTAGGTATCATATCTGGTCGAGTCGCTGCGATACGCTGTCGTTTCTGACCAAAGGGTTTCTGCAGTTGAGAAGGATTCACGTCTCCTTGCAGCCAGCGCTCGATCAGATCACGGGGGTCAGCTGACGCTGAAGCTCAGCCCCTCTGTTGTTGCTCCAGCCTTGAAGTAGGAACCCTAAACCCTAAACCCTAAAGGACCTCAGTGCTCGTGGCCCTGCGCAGGTCTCTTTGACGGGCGCGGAAGGACAGTCGAGGGGCAGCTGATTCCAGAGTCCAAGACATGCGACAAGAGTTTCAACCGGTCCCGGCCCAGACAATCCTGTGAAGGACGGCGCCGTAAAAAGCCCAAGATACTTCACCACCCCGAACCCCGAAGACTACAAGAACGTAGTTCAGTCTGTGAAGCAGGCGGTTCTTGATGATTAGTTTAAGTTTGAGTCTGGTTGCCAAACTGCAACGATAATGAGAGGAACCGTCGAATTTGTGGCCAAAGGCGTCGCTGCCTTACATCTCAGCATGTCACGCCGTATCACCCACTACAGGTTGGCCGCATGTGGCTCAGTCTTCGTCCGAAGTTGCGCCCCGAAGTGCATCAAACCAAACTCCACGGGCGCATGAAACCCTGTATTTCTATGAGGATTCTAAGGACCCTAAACCCTAAACCCTTTCTTTCTATTAGGATTCTAAGGGCGCTTAAGGCAAAGTGAGGCCAGAAGCGGACTCTGAGGCCACAAAGAAGCAGGCTCAAGTCAATGCAGCACGTGTTGGCCCCAGAACTCAGTCTTCATGACCCTAATATAGTACCCTAAATAATTAATAGGATCCCTACTATAAGGACCCCAAAATAAGGTATCTT